TTCTCTCTGAAACCACCACCAAAGGTACCAGTTGCAATGACTCTACCTATCTTAGAAATAACAGGCAGTAGAAAACCTTAGCATTTGCATTATTCTCTGTCCATCACTTACCATGAGGAGCATTTCTATGCCTCAGATAATGCTTGCTATGTTGTATGTAACTGCGTGTACAGATGCAGTGTGTGTATATGATAAGCGGCAGATAAGTATACACTAAGTTCAGATAAACTTAGACACATGAAGTGCTTTCCTTCCCTATTGTACTACACAAGGCTATTGCTTTCAAAAGGCTGCTAAAATGTTCCTGCGACTGAGCAGCTTGATTCACTAGTCTTCCCTAGGTGATTTATAATAAAGACCACAATCCTCTGCTCTGTCTTGTATGGGATGTGCATGAACATCCTGTTAAGATATTGCTCATGCTCCTGAACTTGGCAATGATCAAAAAACAAGAGCAAAAAGATTATAAACTCAGATCTGGACAATTATAAAAAAATAAATTGCTAAACCATGAAAATCAGTATCTTCAGGTAAACAAAATAAATCTTTATCTTGACAAAACGAACGTTTAAAAATAATTTGCTTTCCAATTTACCTTTCAGCTAATCCTCCTTTTGTAAGGCTGGAAATGATTATGGGATCAAAAGGCTCTTCAGTACCAGAAATTGTAATTCCAAGAGGCCCACCATAGCGCTTGAGCTCAACAGTATAAATAATCGCTCCAGAGCTCTCCTGTTCATCTGCAATAAATGCCAAGGGGAAGCAATTGGTTTCTTACGAAAGAAGGAATGAAAGAAATAGCACATTCAGTCTAGCGACTGGTAATCAAACAACATTTTCAAAGGATTACATTTCAGATACACTTCTTAATCATGTTGTACTGGATTATTTAAAAAAAATAAAAATCTCTCTTGCCCAATTTCTTTTTTATTGCCAAAACCTGATTACACTGAAGTCAACAGAAAAACTCCCCCTGTTCTATTGACACTAAATTTCACTCCCTTTAAAATCTTTCTGTCTTCTTTCCTATCAAAATATAACTTCAGGCTATTTTGTTAGAGAATCACAGAATGGTTGAGGTTGGAAGGGACCTCTGGAGGTCATCTTGTCCAATGTTCAAGCAGGGCCACCAGGATCAGGTTGCCCAGACCTGTGTCCTGATGACTTTTGAGTATCTCCAAGGATGGAGACTCCACAAGCTCTTTGGGCAACCTGTGCCAGTGCTTGGTCACCCTTACAGTAAAAAAGTGTTTCCTGATGTTCAGGAAGAACCTCCTGCGTTTCAGTTTCAGTGTGTCCACTGCCCCAGTCTGCTTTACATCTTCCCTTCAGATATTTATAGACATTGATAAGATCCCCCTGAGCCTTATCTTCCCCAGGCCGAACAGCCTCAGCTCTTTCAGCCTTTCCTCATAAAAGAGATGCCCTAGCCCCTTCATCATCTTTGTGGCCCTTTGATGAACTGCTCCAGTATGTCCATGTCTCTCTAGCACTGGGGAGCCCAGGACTGGACCCAGCACTCCAGGTGTGTCTCACCAGGGCTGAGCAGAGGAGAAGGATCGCCTCCCTGGACCTGCTAGCAGTGCTCAGCCTGATGCAGCCCAGGAGACTGTTGGCTGCATGGGCATATTATTAGAGAAAAGACAAGTTACTACTATTGTATAAATACTGGTACTCATCTCTTTCTTGAACTGAATGGAAGGTATTTAACATCAAAGATAATTCAAAAGTTTTAAAACCAAACTTCCTTAAAAGAATTGTGAGAAAAGTCAAAAATCATGATAAGATGAGCAACTGTCTTACTAAGAGAACCTGAAATAAATCCAGTGTTTTTGATGGTCAAGTTTTAAGCTTTTGTAACAGAGTAAAAAATAGCTTCTGAATTCTGAATTATCAACTATGTTGAATAACAACTCCATTAGATTTCGTTATATTGGATGAAGTCATTAGCATTATTTTGCAATTTTAGTCTCACCAAACAATCGTCAGCAATGGAGAACAGTTCAACACTGGGTGAGCTTAAATACAATGTATTTTCCTTAAACAATACCCAACAGGTGTTGCAGCAACAAGAAAGGCTCCTGTATTTATATAGTGCATGCTTTTTATGTATTACCAAAAAAATATCACAGCAGGAGAGCAATCAACTGCAGTATCTTTGAGTTGTGAAGGGATATTTTAAAATTTGAAATGCCAGATTTCTCCTCAGATCAAAATAACAAATGCTCCCTTGCCCATCTCATGATATTGGTGTTCAGCCAGGATGTCTGGTCTGGCGGGCAACTTTTCCTAGATCTGTGGGTAATGACATTTTGAACGGCTCAGCAAGTGTGGAAAATGTCTAGGATGCACATTCCGTAAATGTTACTAGAACTAACCTGAAACAAGTTAGAAAATTCAAATGTTCCCATTTCTCTTCCTACAGATAAAAAAAACTTTAAAAGGAAAAAAAGATACCTGCATCGCTAGCAAAAGTTCAGAGAGTTGCTTTCTTCTAATGCTGAACATGGTACTTAAGCAGAGCTGGAGAAACACTAATATCTTTGGAGCTACTTTCGTTCTTCCCAATTTGCAGAAAATTTAGGCCTTCAGCTTCCCCCCACCCCAACCCCCTCCTATTTCCCTCTTACTATCTACATAAAGAAAATGGTACACATATAGAAACAAAGGTGAGAAGAGTTAGTGGTGTTTATTCAGCAAAGAATACTGGGATTTTCATGCCTAGTGTTGGCCTTGTGTTCCTACTTGGGGCATTTTCATCAGTGTTTTGGCACAGTTCACATCGACTAAGCTTTACCTGACACGGTCTTTCCAGAAGCACCCAACTCCCGAGACCCCACTGGAAGCCTCTGGCTGGCAAACAGTGGGCTAGCACATAAGCTGCCACTGCACAGCAGAAGACCAGCAGCTCTTGCTTGCTTGTTAGAGCATTTAGGGAATGATGACAAATCCCCTGGGATGTAATGCTGATAACGTTTACACAGGTGTGGCATTGACGCACTACAAGACTCCAACTGAAGGATGAAAAGTAATCCACCAAGCTAATTGAAAATGTAATAGCCAGCATTTGCTAAGGGTCGACACAATACTGATGTTTCTCTGCTGTCAATGGTAAGTGAATAAGAAGTTATTAATCATACAGCAGCCTTGCCACATGAGAGTTGGAAGTTTATAGATCTTAGTGAATGACTGGAAAGGAGACTGGTCCATTATGTCTGTCTTCTGCTTAGCCCTAGTTAAAAGAAAATTAATGGCAGAATACAACAAATGTCAAATTGCTACAGTGTTCTCTTCAGTGCTCTTTCCAGGCAGCAGAAATCCAAGCTATCCAAGAACATGGCATGTATGTGGCCTGAATTCACAATGAAGGCCAGTTTTGCCATGAAAGCAAAGAACTCTGATATTCAAAAAAGAGTGGGAGCCATTAAGTTAATCAGGAGATATAATTGTCCTCAGTTTGGGAAGCTGGCAGGAAAAAAAGAAAAGAGAAAAAGTGCTGAAAACATACTTCCATCTGGGGAGGAAATATAAATATAATCCAACTACCACGTTTTCGGGTCTCATGTTTTTGAGGTTTTCCTTCTTTCTTTTCTTTGTGGTGCAATTGTGGACAGTTCTTAGAAACCACATTTAATGAAAGTGTGCTGCAGCGCCTCTGCTCTGTCCACAAGTCTCTTGCTCTTCAGAGTAACATCTGGTCAATACGGACAAAAGGGCAAAGAAGAGCATGGTCTGGGGGAGCACACAGCATGTACTACCCTGCTGCTGGCCTCAGCTGCACGGTTGGCTCTGAGACACATATGACTGGAGAAGGGAGGAGTTGGAGAGACAGCAGAGAAGGAAAAACAGAAGGCAGAAAGAAGAGCTAGAAGCTAGAAATACCTCAAAATGAATATAAAGAGTTTGACAGACAGTGAGGAAATGAGCACCTAGGCTCTCTGCCTTTCCCTCCTCAAAAAAGCATGCCATTAGAAATTAAAAAAAGTTTAAATATTAATCTCATTCTGTGATTTAGAAATTGTTTTGGAGTGCTCCACGCCTACTCATCTATTAGCATCAGGCTTTTCTTTTCTTGGGGAATTTATTAATGATCTTTTCCTGTTGAGTTTGGAAGCATGTTTCTTCCCTTTGTGAGAAAACAGACTTTCATAAATAAACTAATGGCAAATAAACACAAATTTATTTTAATTGAGGTACACTTTTTGCTACCTTTGCTATTGTTTTGCCACTGGTCTTTAAAATATTTTTTCTTTAGCATTTCAGGAGATACTCATTCATTTTAGATTTCAAAGTACCTGAAATTTGCTATAAATACTTTGAATTACACTTTGACATTTAGTTACTTGTTACAAGAACCATTTGCATAGATAATTTTGGTCAGCAGGTCTCTGAGTAGCTGACCATTTATATTTGAATCTGTTCAGTTACACCAGTCATGTCTGGATAAGACACTGCAGTTGTGTGAGAATCTCAATCTAGATATATGATGTAACTGTAAAATAAGCAATGTGAACTTGTAAAAGAAAACCATGGAGTAAGGCTAAAGTCGGTACCAGCTACCATGATGTGCAATACCTAAGACAGCAAACATGTTACTTTACATGGGCGGAGAATGAAATCCGTATTTCAGTGACAGCAACAGAAAATGTGTACCAACTTCAACAGAAATGGGAGCTGTCCTAGAAAAAGATTAAGTTCACAAGGTGAGGGGAACTGGGGGGATGACATGACACACAGAGGACAAACCCACAGGTGTTTGAAAGTGTGAGAGAAGTTATTAACTCTTCTACGTGGCTCTAACTCATGCCCCTCTTCTGTGGTCTGTTGATAATTTCTATGCAGGGTTATTGAATGAGAGGGAGTCTTGCAAATGAGAGGAAGACGGTGAAGGAGGGATCCTAGGTACCATGAACACTGAGAAGACAGACCCTCTCTTGTGCAGGAGAAAACAAAAACTTCCTTCTACAGGTATTTTTCCTGTCATTCTTCTGCCAAATGTAGTTGCAGTTTGCTCTTCACAACACACCTGGTTTGCTCCATTTTGCAAAGCAACTGCCAGTCAGGTGTCCCTTTGGATGTACAGCCCATGGCCAGTTTGGCCAGCCTCTGTCCAAGATGGACCTCCTGTGTGTAGCAAATTCCGCCTCACCACCTGCAGGGACCTAACCACAATATCCTGCCGAGCAGTGGCCGTTCACTTGGCTGGATCAAAATTTACTTCTGACAGCCAATTTGCACCAGGTGCTAAATGTATCCGCCTTTGCTTTGTGCTGATCATACCGAGAAGATACTTTCTGTTTGCTTTCCAAAGCAATTACAGGAAAAGAGCATTCTAGTGCAATTCTAAACACCATTTCAACAGTTACACTTGATTTTAAATAATAAAGTGTGACAGGCTGTGCCTTTTTGCTGTGAGATTGTATAGAGCTTAAGAGAGGTGAATCTACAGTTCATGCTTTTGTGTAACGCTGTATTATAAATCCCATAAATAATGGTAGTTATAATTGTCTAACTTCCTTTGCCACTAGAACGCATAACAGAACTTGCTTCTACTCTCCAGGCAGAAATTCTGCTCTTATGGAATCCATAATGGGGAATAGTAATAGATGTAGGTGTGCAAAATGATGGCAGCTCCATTACTTCCATTGGGCTGATCAGACATGGCTCCTCCATCAGCCATCAAGCACAGCGTGTAAAGTACTACTTACCGTTAAGCATGTGACCAGTCATACTGAACTCAAGTTTGTAAGTTTATGGATAAACATGCACTTCACCGCTCTGCTGGAGAACTGAGGCCTATGGATCCATGCTTTGCTAATCATAATTCCAATCTTAAAAGCAGAGAAAATACCAAAATGCTGATAAAAGAAAGATCAATTTTATATGGCTACACCTGAGGGGAAATTGCCTTGCCAGAAAACTGAAGACCCCATTTTGCAGTGCAGCTCCTGCAGGCAAGATAGCCACTGAGAAAACTCAAAACTTTATATACCATTAAAATTATTTTTAGTGTGACATTTTCTGATTAGCATTAGCATAAACCAGCCATGTTTAGAAAAAACATTTCACTGAAATGTAAATGCAAAAGAATAACTCTGTGTTCTAAAACTCCTGAAAATACACAAGAATCTGCAACAGGCTCATTGCTAATACCGGAATTATCTTCATCTTTGCGGATCTTTAACTTTACGAGGTCCTCACAGTGCTGAAGGATCTGGACAGCATCTTCCATTGAGCAATTGTCAAGTCGAATGTTATCTATTGCAAGTAACTTATCACCCAGTTCGAGTGTCCCAGTTCTGTGAACAAGCAAACAAACTTACATGAAATTCTATTAACAATAAAGCAAGGTATCTTAGAAGGTATGAACATTATTCTAGAAATGAGATGGAATTTTAAAAAAATTATTTCTTAATACACTGGACTTTTCATTTGTAACTGCTTTTTACACACAAAAAAAAGCACAGTCTCTCACAAGCTCTGTCTGTTTAACTTGAGTCTGGCTGGCTACATAATAGAAACAGATTTTTACTGGGAGCTTGAATGTCTTACCTGTGAGCAACACTTCCTTTCTTGATATCAGAAATAACCAGAGGGTCCCCTGGTTTTCTACTGGATGGAGCTGCAATAAAGAATACATACAAGTATCTGTTTTTATTTCTAGATATGCAGATGGGGTAATTTCATCCATAAATCAATACTTCATACATATTATTTACCTGTATTATATTCCTCCCCTTCCCCTAAATTATACGTACATGAATACAAACAATCGTCAGCAGCATATTAGTAAGACTGCATAGCCTTCAAAATTAGAAAATGCCAGCATTAAAGTGACTGGTGCAAAGTGAATTTAACCTGACATGTCTGAATTCTGTGTTAGGCCAGGGCTGAACCATGCAAAGATATCACAGTACAGCTCCAGTGATCTATCATAAAATCCTGCCTGGCTACTACACCTAAGGAAGACTTTCTGTTAGTAGAACCTCTCAGCACAACTACTAATGCTGATCCTTTGCCAGAATATTTCTGTCAGTCATAAATCATGTTTTATTATATCCCTGACCAACAGAGCTGCTCTGACAAAATATCTAGAGTGGGCTAGCCCACACCCTTTACATCTGCTCCTGTCTCATTCAGTGCTTACGGCAGAGGTATGAAGATAGTGCTTCCTGGGTGAGAAGGAGGAATCCACAATAAATGAGGTGCTGTGGATAGTGGCCATGCATACCTTTGGGCTGATACATAGTTATCACATCTGCACAGATGTAGTTTACATCACAGGGATGCTTGCTTCACTGTGATTCGCTGCTTCCTCTGAAGTAAACATGGGCCTCTTGATGAGTAACCTTGCTCCACTGCTGGGCTGTAAGCATTGTGGACTTTTCCCCACTTTGTACTGGGGATACCTACTAGAAGCCCTGCATTTCAGAAATGGTTAAATTAGTAAAACCCCCACCAGTCCTTTCCTTGCACACCTAATTCATCTCTTCTTGGGAGTATCTGACATAACTTCCAATTTTCCATCTGTCCATCATGGTTAAAAGGATGCTCTGCTCTACACTGCTGGTCATTGCAATTCCTTACTGACTTATGCAAAAGTATTTGACAAGTTTCCCTTGGGAAGTATACTGCCTATGGCTGCTCTGGCCAGCAGGTAGTCTGTGTGGTGAACGAAGACTGACTTTTGGGACTGTTGTTAATAGAGTGTGCTAACATTAAAACATTGCCATGTGGTATAAAGCTCTCAGATGTCCCGAAAGGGCTAATGGTTTTTGCACATGTAGGGCTCTTCAACTGGCCGAGTCGTTTCTGCTCTGTACTGAGGCCTCTGCATTCATTCACAGAAGGTATTTTCCATTAGGCTCCAATGCCTAACTGCCAGTCACCCAAAAAACTACCCATATTGGAGGATCACCTACAAAATCCTGAAGTCAGTTACTTTAGCAGCTCATGATTCTTCTCTTTGATGCAAAATGACAGATCTTCACCTACAGCAACCACAAGGTGTATTAATAATGACATTTCCAACACAATATTCTGACAGATCTTGTTACCCTTGGCTGCCCCAGCTGAGAAAGCCTTTGAATGTCCAAAGGAACTGTTTAAGAACTACTAAATAGCCATATTTCAAATGCAGTGTCCTGAAAGTCCAGAAGACAGATGTACAAGGAGTTTCAAGAATTTTTAGAAACTTGTCTAAACAGCACGCTTTCAGAAAATGCCTATGTTGCAATTTAGAGAACAGCAATTAACTTCTTGCAAGATGTGTAATTTTCATAGCTTGTTCCTCATACTTTCATGCCATGGGTCAACTGTATCTTATACAACAGTTCTATGATTTACCTGAATTCTTTGCGTTTGCTTCACCAATTAGTATCTTGTTAAAATTTTAAAGTATCACTTTGGTGAACATTTTTTTTCTTAATTCTACATTTTTACCCTCTGGGTTGCCTTACAAATCTCTGATGTTATATGCTGCCCACTGTACAATGTTTGCAGTTAGAGACTTGAGATAGTTTTAATGAAACAGCTTTATAAAAATTATGAGTACTAAAGAAAACAGTCCATTATTGCTCCAAAAAAGAAGAGAGAAGGAACCAAAATGGGGGAAAGAGCACAGCTCAAAGTGCGAAGCCACAGAGTACATGTGGATGCAAAAGGTACGATACTGCACACAGTTATTACAGTTTCAAACTGAGTCACTGTGAACCAGCATTATTTTGTCAATTATCCTGAGCTATTAATTGTGTCTGGTGGATGAAAGCCTTTTTGTAGGCAGAAAACACAGCTCAGTGTGAAATGAATCCCCTGACGCTGACAAGCCCTTAATAAGCAGCTACACCACACTTTGTTTTATTCTTGTTCAATGCTTGTGACATACTTACTACAAACTATTCCAGTTGTGTTGCAGAGATAAAATCATTAATTTCCTCCTGAACTTTTGTACTGCACATCACCACAGCCTAAGACTGCCTCCTAAACACTAGCAAACAGATGTTGTCCCCAGCAAAAAGATTGAGTACTATTATCCTGATTTTCCAGATGAAGAGAGGAAACGCAGGAACATTTAGGTCAAAGTATGACAATTTTCAGTGAGCAATTTGAGATATCCATGCCTTTATTTCTCACAATAGTTTGTAGTATGTAACAGCTTCTGTGTCCAAAGCACAACTACTGGCATTTTCAGCAACAGCTGCAGATGCTCAGAATCTCTGCAATTGTGACCCCAGGATCTCAATGGTTTCCACAGAAAATCAAACAGTCACCTGTGGAAAATATCTCTCTCTCTCCCCTCCACCCCATGAAATGACTTGTCTCAGCACAAGTCTGTTGAAGAGAAAAGGAAAAAAACCCTAATTTCTCTAGGGTAGCATTAAACCACCTTGACCATGAGATCACCTTTTTATTTCTGCAATCCTCCACCTCATTCATTATGCAGCCTCCATCCCCTTTGATATACACCACTGTTTCATCTCTCCCCAGAGAGCTGAGAAGCAAGAGTCCCAGTGAGAAAGTAGTATTTGACCACTTAATTAAGAAAGATATCCTCATGTATTAATGCAAGTTTGAAGTGACACTGTACAGCTTTAAGTCTCCATTCTTGTGTTTCATTTCAGAATTATTTTTAAGAAGCAATTAAAACCAAAGCACCTTACCACTCACCCATGTTCAGCCTTCTTGTTCAAGTCCCAGCTTCCCCTACCCCTGATCACGCCTCAGCCTCTCCACTTGTCTGCTATCACCCTGTTATGGCTCTCCATTCATTTTCTCTCCTTGTCCCATTCTGCTTGTCCATCAAAGATCTCATCTTTTCTCCTCCCTGGTCCAGCTGTTAGTCTACCTACTGTAGAGCTTTTGTAGAGACCTTACACAGTCTGTATGATGCACTACAAGTGGACTGAAAAGTGCATAAAGTTGTACAGATAGTAAATTTAGTGTTGCAGCTGGAAAGCTGGTCTTTAGCAAGTTGTTTGTTCTCTCTCTTTAAATTACGCTATGATCCTAGGTCTTCATCCCAGGCCTCTACCCTACTTTTACTAGAAAAGACACTTCCTCTGCCTATGCCCTACCACTTGAAAGCAAGTTCAGTGAAGTGATGTCAGTTTTGTAAATCAGCTGTTCCATTAGGTTAAAAAAACCCTTAAACAACCCTCCTTTCTTGTTTCACTGCTAACCCAAAGAAAAAAATCAGTGTGACTTAAACAGATTTTGGGGTGGACATCTCACATACCACCCAGGTAGAAACACCTACTAGTCTCAGCCTGGCTTAAAGTTTTGGAGTTTGATTGAACTCTGAACAAGTTGAACAAGCAGAGGAAAATGCTCATGCGATGGAGAAATATTTTTATACAAAGTCCACTTACCCACAATGCTGGTTAACAATTAGTAGACTTTTTCAAAATAGTGTGACTATTAAATAGATGAAAGAGCTTTTTAAAATTAGACTGATGAAGCTCTTTTGTTCCTTAAGTATTGTTTCATGTGGAGCAGCTGAGAAACTTGCTGATTCTTCAGGCCCTATCTTGAAAATAATTACTGGTAACATTGCAAAATGAAGTTGAGTTTGCTAGGTGAAGTTCCAAAATATACAGAAACGTGCTTTAGGAAGTAAATTCTCATAGTCAATGCTAAATATCTGTAGATATTTACAAAGCTTGTTTCTGATGAAATACTAAAGCAATAAAGCAGACTATAGTATAGCTGCTAGTCAAAACGACTTAGAAAAACTGATGATAGTTTGAGTAAGATTCTGATATTCTTACTAGCTTTGCAGCTTCTTATTCCATGAGTAGTCCCATTAGCTTGAGAGAGATTAATTATGAAGCAAGGTGCTGCAGTTCATTACCAGTAAGGCTATCAGAATCTTACTTCAGAAAAAAAGAAAAGGAAAAAAAAAAGCTGTTAACTACAATTACCAGACTGTACTAGTACGTCATTTTCTCGGATATCATCCAATGTATTTAAAAAATATTAGTCTATGATAAAGTAGCCAGTGGCACAAAATTTACCTTTAAAAAAATTTAAAAAAATATATTCCATTACATGGTCTAAAATTAATGTCACTGGAAAATAAATTGAAACAGATTTGAACACTTCTAGATCTACTTGAAAGTCATCCTTCTTCTAGGGAATGGTTCTGTTATAAAAGCATAATCACACACACAGCCACTGCGGTGTCATGCTTTATTTTGATGATGTAATTTTAAGAACTGAGACATTCTAATTGCTCCAGTCAGGTAACTGGGAGTGAAAATTATGGTACCTGAAGTATGAAATAGATAGTCCCTTATATTTTCAACCTACGAAATAGGGTCTTTATTGAGTGTAAGTAGCTATTAATGGGAAGATTAGACAGATACTGCAGAGGTAAGGGAAGGATGGTAGGATGACAGAAGTCCAGTATGTGTGTGAAGGCAGCAATGGGCCAGGAGGTAACCGACATGCGCTATCCAAAACTCAGTGCCCTGGATTAGAATTAACAACAATGCTCATGAAACTTTTTTCCATCTTACTTTCCATCTTACTTTCTAGGTGTTTCTGCTGTCTAAGGGGATTTTGGTTTTTTCTTGTTTTGCTTTTTTTTCTTGCATTAAAAAATCTGAAACTAAGAGAAGCTTAGTCTCTTCTCCTATTACATGTCATGTTTTTTGAAGACGATGAATTAGCTTAACTGTCTTTAGTGTTGTATGTCACCTCAAATAAGCCTTCAAGTACCTGGCTGTAACTCCATGCAGGCACACGTGGTGTTTATTACCAAGGAAAATAACACAAAGAAAGAGAAATAAATTCCCCTTGCAAGATGTCTGCCTCCTAATAGCTGATTTAGAAGAACTCTTGGACTTAAAAACAGGCATATGTTCAGGTGGCAACGTGAGGTGAGGCTTACATTTCCCTTCTGACAAAAAAATGTCTGTCTTGTCTGTCAGGTCAGGTCATTTCCTGACTTTCTCATCCAAATCCCAAACTAAACTGGGGATATGGAAAGCAAGACAGGCGTTGCTCTGTAATGTTTTTATAGAGACAGCACTTTCTCACTCACCATTAACTCCACTACCTTCAGAAGAGAGAGGATGAAACAGGCCTCTAGCACTTAAACAGATGAAGCCTAAAAGTGAATAAACCTGATCTCCTCTATCACCCCTTTAAGCCTGGTCATACCAACTCCGCTGAGTTTCCCTTAGTATTTGTTTTTTAAAAGAAATCATATAGCTTTCTGACAATATCAGTAATAAATGGCGTGCTAATGTGCTAAAGTGCCCTGACAAAAAATTGACAAAATGAATATAAACGGTTTATATTCTTCAAATCACACTGCCTCATTTACGAGTTACTTAGGTAGAACGGGGCAAAGTACTGAAAAGCAAGAATGAAATGCAGCAATTCAAGACTTCTACCAAGCAAATTTACAAACTTTCAGTTATTAGGATAAATCCCTTAAAATGAAATAAATAATTAATCTTAGACACATTTCATATGCATTTAATACTATTAATAAGTGGGATTATTATATATATAACAGATAATTTAAAGACACTGCAGTATACTCAGAAAAGCAGAGCTAAGACCAACCAGGTGTCACTCTGATTATATAAAGCACTAATTTGATAAAGCACTAACTTTTGGAATTAAGTTCTAAGTCAGGAAGTTATGCAAAGTTTGGAAGAGGAGTGCTAAATACTAAATCCCAAGAACATTAGCTTTCCATTCAACGTTTATTCCTACAGAGAGAAAAAAAGTACAAGATGTCTGAATTCCAAAAAGCAGCACAAGTACAATTACTAGGAAGACTGTATTTTTACAATAATCCTACAAACCATTACTGATCCTAAGAATAACATTGAAATAGGACAGCCTCTCTCCAGGTTTTCTCATTTCTCAGTATTTTAATTTGAACAAATACATGCAGACCTATGATTTTGCTTCAAGCATCACATCACATCTTAGAGTCTAACAATTACTCATTCAAGTGTGCAACGCAAGCAAACAGGCCTGCAGTGTCTCTCATTTGTTCCTCAGATGTAATTCTGAGCACTGAGTTCCCTGCTGTACTTTTGATTAACCTTATTTCATTGTGCCGGTAAAAGCTTTGAGAATATAAGTCAAAGCACAATCTTCCCTCAAGACACATGAATAATTCCAAAGAAAGACTAATAGTCTAAGAAAGGCCACAATCGTAAAGGAATGTTAATTCCGGTGAGATCAGATTCTGCACTGTCATTAAGTACATTAAACACAAGCCCATTAACTTTGAAATGGATTGTTCTTCCTTCCATCAAGGGCTGAACTTGGTATGCTGGAGTTTACCTGGCCAAAATCCAGCCCTAACACAGCATTTACCGTGTGCTCCCAAAAACAAGTAAGTATAGAAACACTTTGATTTCAAACAAAGCAACAAATACTTTTTGAGAAATAGACTAATGCTCATCCTCGTTATCTTCTTTAGCAATCCCTGAAATCCCTACTGAACGGGGACTTTGTGATGTGACCTGCACATTTAGGACTGCCCACTAGTTTCACAGATTGAGGATGTATCTTCAGACTCTAGGTTCCGAAGCAGAAAACAAGCCCCTGTATGTGGATCCCCACGCCTGTGAGAACCCTTGAGTGCAGTGGGGCTCTGTGCAAGAGCCTGTGAGAGACCATGACAGACTTTGCTTTAAAATTCCCAACTATGGAAATACTTTTGCATGGGCTTAATTCTATTGACTTCTTTTTTCTTAAAAAAAAAAAAAATTAATGGGAGTTAAATATGTGCTACGCATGAAGGAATAGGTCAAGCTTTAGGTCTGGCAAACTTTTGGCTTCTTTAAGTACTAGAAGGGGAGTATAAATCTGTTACAGAATGGTATTTCATGAGAGACAGAGCACTGCTCATCATTCCTTTACAGGAAAAGAGGAAAAAGAAGTTGATACCAAAGCAAACATGAGTTTACAGGACCTACTTACTACCTGCAGATCATCCCATAAATGTGGTCTTAAAAATAAGCACTTTCACTTACAACTTATGGTGATGCCAAGTTCCACATTATGCTTCTTTGGTAATTTTACATGAAATGTTCCGCTGCTTGGTATAACTGATTCTATAAAAAAATATTTAAAATGTTAGATACTTTATAAGGCACAGCAATTCCAAGTACATGAACTATATGTGTAAGTTGATGAAATCACATCAGCATCACAAGCCATGGATGCTGAAGTGAAGGAAGTAGGACATGTGAAGTATGATTTATAGCTCTATTGGTAATTTCACGGTAACTCAATTTTTTTAAGGTTTAACTTTATGAAGATTGCATGGGCCAGCAGCCAGCTGAGACTGCAGGTTTTTAGCTTGTATGCAAGTTCTGTGAGCACGTGTGAAATTTTTACTGCTGGCAGATAACTTTTAATTAAAAGGACAGGGGATCAGGTCTTAAGGATTTCAGGCCTTTGCTGCTGTAGGTCTAACACATTTTTAACTGTCCACTAAGGTAACTGCCATGGACTTTACATCTGCGGGGAAGAAAAGGAATCAAAACATCACTTAACGGAGAAGCGCCTGGAGCTGACTGACGCAAAGACCACTTGAGCACACAACGCTGTATTTGAATCCTGACTTTTGGCATTGCTGCTCGCAAAAGTTTGGGCCTTGGCCTGAAAAGGGCTGTTTGAAATTACAGCTATGGAAACATATAAAGCATACATGTGGCAGAGGAGTCTAACCATGAGTATGAGTCTGCTGTCATGGAGCAAATGTGAGGAGCACAAACAAGCCTGAAATACATGTGACTTAGGGTGTATTTAAATTACTTTCTCATTATTTGGTTTTCTTATTTTTTAATATTTTGTTTCCTATGTATATGAATGCACATATTGTATTTAGCTTTTTTTAAAACATCATACTAGATGTGTGCATACTAAAAGATTATGCAGAATTACTCTAGGAATCTTTAGCCTGCTATTGACATCATGATTTATAATGCCATTAACAATAATCACACGATGCAAAATACAGCACATCTGACATTGTCATGCTTTCAAAGGAGCTACTGCCAGATGAAAACACCAGTCTTAAAAGTTTTTACTATTTACATAGTGGGGCAGTGCACATACATAATATGTACTTGTTTGATTTACACAATTTCTGATTTTATAGGTATATTCTGTATGCTTAAACACATTACAGAAAAAAGGAAAACCATTAGTAAGAATAAAGACTCACCAGCAACATTAACAATGATTTTTCTGGCTTTTATTAATTCAGTTTCCATTATTTTATTTAGATTGTTGGTTTGAGATACTGTAAGCGAAACTCTTCAGAGTTTTCTGCTTATCCACCTTTTTATAACACTTTTCTGTCTGGTAAAACATTTCATTAGCTGGCCTGTAGAGGATTTGTCTCTGCTCAGCAGAATATTTCTATCTTGGGGCAGAAAAATGTCCGGAAATAACTCAGAGGAGGGACTGTCACCAGATCTTACTACAGGACTTGTCATTTCTATTTACGTTCCAAAGCACGCTGCAGGGCTACATGAAATGAGAAAGCTGTACAAAAAGACACACGTTTCAAATAGGTCACTTGAAAACTGAGTGGTGTGTATGTGAGAAGAAAGTCTCCACCTTGGATGCCTAACACTCGCAACGTACTTGGGATTTATTCCTTCACTTTTCTTGCAAGACAGAATAACAGTACATTCATACCTGCAACATCAAATTCTATTTCCAAAGTGACCTTGTTGGTGATAGAGGAGTCTCTGAGCAGTTGATTGGCCTCATCAAATGTGCTGTCTTCTGTTGGAATGCCGTTTATTGCCACTATTCTGTCTCCTATTTGCAGCACCCCACACCTTGGTGCACAACAATACAAAACAATCATCAGATGTGCACGTTACCAGAACCAGCAATATCAAACACATTCAACCTAACCTTGAAGGGGAAGTGTGCCATAGCAGCTGAACATCCACCCAGGCACAGAGGGGGACAGAAGCTGCTGCTGCCCCTTTGCACCAAGACACTATCAAGCACTCCCCAGCATGGGTTGTGCGTGTTCTCTGGGTGCTGAGACCCAGGAAGAGGGGCACAGCCCTCCTGCCTCCACCCACCCCTGGACATCACCTCTGCCTCTGACCCTGGGCTATAGGTGGTATAGCTCTGCAATGGCAGCTAGTACTTGCCCATGCAACTACTATTGTTCTCATGCCATGATTAAAGACATACGTAAGCATAAAAATGCAATTGAAATGCTGCAATGAAATAATTAGTAAATCAAAACTCTGGTATTCCCAAAGATCTGGTTCTGTACCAAAACTGAACAGAGCTAGGTATGGCCTCCCCCCACGGCACACTGAATTATTACTATTTTGACTTCAGCAATGTTCCTGATTCTTTTTTCTCTTTTTTCTTTTGCATGAATATAACTTCCAGTCTCCTGCTAGAGGACTCTGGATGATAAAAACACTGATGCCTGCCATTCTTCTTAGAGCTGATCAGGCATATGAAATATCATTGTCAGAACAGACAGTTTATTACTCACCATACTTCCATGGGGCAAGGCCCTGCAATTTATCACAAATTGAAAGCAACTAGCCCAAATTAGCCCGAGGAATGCTCACCAAAACGTACTTAGCAGTCAACTGAAAGAACCTCACCTTTCCGCCGGACTGTCAGACTCAATATAGGAAATGAGAGGTGGAGAAGACAAGGTCTCAGTAGCAAACACGCTACCCTGGAGCTGTATCCCAAACCCTACTATGGGGTCAGCTGTCAGCACTACTTCTGTGGTTTCTGTGTGGACGACCTGCCCAGCCAAACCAACAGTGCTAGAGGCTAAAGACACTATAAAACAGAGCAGACCAGGAGGAAAGACATTCATACACAGCACAAATTTCATTGCTCTTTGAGAAAATTGATCTGTACAATAAACTTAGTCAACAAAACATCTCTTTTAAAGTCAATTTAGACTAAAGTTTATAAATTATGTATAAACAGTTATGACATATAAGAGAATAGAAAACATCTGGCTCTATGTTAGAATGCAAAAAGATAGTTCTTGTACTAAAATAAAGGTGTTTGACACCCCCACCCCAAAAATCTCAGAACATCTTTGAATTCCGTTTGCATTAGGTTTGAGGCATGGAGGAGCAGAATTTTCACAGGAGCTAAGGAAATTGGAAGCGCAAGCCCAGCTGTTATTCAGGCCGATTCCCATAAGCTGTTAGGAACAAAGCACATGGCCCAGGCTTGCTTGCAAGCAATAAGGATGCCTTCCTCTTATACATGTTTACTACATGTCAGCAATTTGTCAGACTAACTGGGTAGTGTAACAGAGTTGAACAAATCCCTCTGTTTTAGCAACCAGTATATCTCAAGAGACTGAGAAAAAAGTTCTTTGGGGTCTCTCAAAGGAATAGGGGGACCCTTCTGTGAGAAACACAGGCAGCTACTTCTGTACTCCTGATTTACTCCCCCTCTCTATTCTCACTCTTGTTCTGAAAGCTGCATTACAGAGTAAATCAAGATAAAAACAACATTGAGATTCAACCCAATTACCTATGAAAGGAGGAGACTGCACCTTGGTTCTTTAGTCTCTGCCTAAATGTTGGTTGTATCATCGCTCAAATTCCCCCAGTGACAAACTACTGCCTTTCATTATGTCATACACAGAAAGCTAGAGCTTTTCAATTCCTGTTCAGACCAGTAATGACAATCCTCCAATGCTGAGGATTCTGAATGTTTTCATGTTATAGATCTATGCCATTACCTCTCCACCTCCAATTTCCTTCAAGACCCATTTCTGCCTGATGTAGAAGCAGATAAAGAAGTAGGCAGTAGAATTAGATAAAAGTTCATGGTTTATCTGAGGGATTGTTTAACTGTGGGGTTTTTTTCTTAGATGTGGGAGAAAATTAGTTCTTGTTTTTACATTATAGATAATATTAGCACAGCTGTACAAGGATGCAGAAGTTGCATAAGTACTACCCATGCTTTGGGGCTACAAGCATTAGACATTTGCTCTGAAATAGTTAGTATAAAATCTGATTAACGTGTCACAGTTGGCAATTACAGTTCTGTTGTAAAAGTTTCACTGGCCAAAAACCTCATGAGTATCTGTTTTCTCCCAGCAAAGCTCCTTTTAACTCCAAAACTATCTTTTCTAAATTACTGTGAATTCTTACTCATATCTTGTTTTAATTTTTCTTTGTAAGAATTGTGTATTATTTCAGTTACTCAATAGCTTCCTTCTTACTGTTTCTTTTATCTGCACTCAGTAAGACATGCTCATATCCAAATGCAAATACTAATAATCTGTTCTTAGAAATGGTCACCAGCTTTAGCATTTACTGCATGTGAGAAATAGGTTTCTCCAGCCCTCAGTGCTGCAAAGCGCTGCAAATGACTAAACCAGATAAATTCAGAGTTAATATAATAGCAGATCCCCTAATGAACATTCTAGAAATGTCTAAATTTAGGGCATCCAAGCTCAGAAAAGTTCCATTTTCCCTTTCTTTAAGGTCATACAAAATTTACTTGTTAGCTGCGTCTTTGTTTCCCATCACTTATGCAGTGACAAAGTGCATCACTTTGTTTCCCATCCCCCCTATGCAGCAGGCACCTGGTTGACTCTCTACCTTTCTTATTCTTTTTCTAATGCCCTACCAGGAACCTAAAGGTTTCACAACATTTATTTCAACTTTTAGGACAGCTAAGGTTTTAATTCACATTGGGAAATTAAGTTAGTATTTGTGGGATTTAAAACCCACCCCGACAAATATTTTGATGATGTGGACACTTAAAAGTGACAATTAGGAACTCCTCCCACTCCCACAGAAAATAAAACAGGAACAGGAAGAGAAAAAGCAGAGATGAAAAGACCCTTTCCAAATCATGTAACAATAGCTAACTCCCAAGGCTCTCATGGTACCCAAAACCATGACTTAGAGCATGTTGGGGTTTGTTACTCAACAATAATTGCAGCAAGAAACACTGCCATTTTTTTGGCTGCATGATGGATTCAAAGTTTTACAAGCCAGGAAGCAGCCTAATTGATTAAAAAAGGGGGCACGGATGTATATGTAGTTCCAGTGAACACTGGTCGCTACTGCTAGGGGTACATTTTAGCATACTTGTATAGCATTCATCCAATTCTTAGCAACAGTCCTGGGGGCTGATTTACTATATGCTCTGCAGTTATCTAAATAATAATCTTGAATTTGAAGATTATGTACTTTTTACTTTCATTCCTGCAGCTGTGCGAGAAGCAGAGCAAGATGTATTTAAAGGTATGTACATGGATTATTACGCCTGCACTCTCCCGCTCTGACCCCTGAGAAATTGCAAAACGTTCACTATTCCTAATGTGGATGTGCTGGGTAAACAGCACCCATGCACATCTAAGATGCTCTCTAATACTACCAAATATGCAGCCCCAGTAACTATCGTGTAAGTTGGTATAAAATTGTGTCTCACTTTCAAATACGAATATAGACCTATTACAAAATACTTCAGGATTTAAACTTTAACCACATAATAAACTAAGTGTTTCCACAATAAATACCATAAAACAAAAAAAAAAGCAGAGGAAGAATAAAAGTTGAAAACAAGTGGCATAAATAAAGCACGTGACAGCAGGGCATGCCTTCAATTTTTACAGCCACACGTTTGGAAAAATCTGTGTAACTAATACAATGATCGTAAAAACATGACCATAAAAGTCTTGTAACCCCCTGTACCATCACACTTCATCATCATGAATTTTGGCATGATCACATTAAGTTATGCAGGTTTTCCTAAATAATTGGCAATGTAAACCTTATAGCACCCTTTTCTTCCCAAATTACATCCTAAAATATTAGAAGTTACATTAATAAACCCCTCAAATGATCCATTTGGATTAAAGAAAAAAAATCCCACTAAAATTAAAAGAGCATGCTATTCCTTTTTGATGAAAAGGACAGCAGTCAATGCTACCTGGTTCTCATGAGTCTCCCACAAAGAGAGAGTGACAAGGTTTTCCAAGTCCTGTCGATGGATGGTGGAAGGGTACAGGACCGGTCACTCTCTATCATGGTCACTTCTAGCACATTCAGTCCAGTGTGGCTCTCTTAAGTTGGCTGTTACTGCAGTCACAAGTCTAAGTCTAGCAACAGGAATAAGGAACTCTACATGGGCTCACAAAAAGGGCAAGCAAGCCTGGCTGGCCAGCCAACTCCTCCAAAGCTAGCTCTCATTCATGGTTGCTGATGTAGTCGCTGCTTGTAGTGAGGCACAGACTCAGCGATGGAGCCAGTTCCACATATTTTATAATGCTCTATATCCAGACCTCACAATGCAAATGCATAATAACTACCCCACAACAAAGCCTCATCCTAATTCTTCCTAGCTAGAGATTTGTTTAATCACAGCAGCCTGTCATCCCCAGGGCCTTCTGACTTGAGGAATCTTTCAGGTGGGCCGCAGTGCTTATGCGCCTGTCCCACTTAAATCTGATGTCACTGGCCTTGTTTTGAGCCTTTGCAGGATAGCAAATTGCAAGGCAAGGCTTCCTTGAAGGAAAAATATCTGAAAAATATAACAACACAAGTAATAGCTGTCTCCAAGATCCATAATAGGATTAGCTTTCAGGATTAACAGTCCTTTGTTGGATGGAACAGCTATAATATAGCACAACCGAAGAACTATTTTTTGCATCCAGCATTATTTTACTATTCAAATCAATTACTATTAGTGTAACATTACTACTGTTTCTCATGTGCACATGAGGACACATAAGAGCTGGACCTCTACTGATACCATAGAGTGGATGGACACACTGTCTCCCCATGACCCAAAAGAATGCATTAGAAGCTAACATGTCAACAGATGAGTTGTGAAAAATAGCTGATCTGATTAAAAATAAAAAAATGTACTTACAGGCAAATGTTATGTAAAAATATTTGCTTTATGAAAGAAATAAGAACAAGCAAGAAACTAAAAACTCCAAGAAAGCAAAACTTCAAACATTTCCCCTCAACTCCGTAGTGACTGGCCTTAGTTGGAGGCTGCTGGTTTACTCTGATTTTGCTATGACCATGGGAAATCTTTAATACAGGGCAGCAGCTCAGTTTTTCCAGAGCGGACCTGTGAGCATTATTAGCCAGAGCAGATGATTTGCAGAGCAGTTCTCACTTCCCTGCTCTGGAGGAACTGAGCTGCTGAGGATCACACAAAGACGGTCAAGCCAAAAGCAGAGGCAGCACTTACATAGAGTCTGGGAAACAACACGCTGATACAGCCACACTCTCTCTGGTGCACTGAAAACAGCAATACGGAAGGTGGAACAGCCTGAAATATATTCACCCTGGCTTGGGAAATTACTGACTCATGGGAAATCCATGCTTTGAATCCCAGCGGGTGGTCAGAAACGAGGGTATTTAGTCTTCACTGTTATTTGTTGCTCTTCCTCACAAAAATGACTGTACAGGTTATGGTTAGATGTAAACATTAATACTACCTAGGAGGTACTGTGGCAAGTTCTTCTCCTTCCATAATGTGATAGCTGGGTGAGCTTACCAGCAATCTGTTTTTGACTATTCAGCTATGAATTCTATTCTCTGATGGAAATGGAAAGAGTTGAAAAAGGAATTTGAAAATCACTTCAGTAATGGTATAACAAACTCTTCCAGAATTGTCTGCAGAAAACATTGCTTTATATATTTCAGATGAGATAGTTAAGCTGCATGGCCTCTACTCATCTCATTTTAGCATCAGACAAATAATTTTTATGCTGATGCTTCCCTACATTTAACGGAAACTCCAATTGTTCCCTCTTCTGCCTAGAGTGTGTATATATACACATATATAAATATATATAAAAATTAAGGTACTTTGTACCTTTTTCCTGTATCTCCCCCTCCTCCACCCATTCACTGCATGTTTTGAGCAAATGCTGTTACCACCTACAGGAGCTTTTGAAGTCCTTCTTTTTCATCCTCCGCCTCATCATTGTCCCACGTGGGCTGGTGGAGTAGAGGCTGCGAGGTAAGGTCCCCATGTTCAGGGAACTCAGGCTGTATGCACTCATGGAGGTAGGAGAGAAGGATGAAGACACCAAAGCTGCTGTAAGAAATCAAACACTTGGCATACAGCACTCAGTCTTCATGGAAGAGTGCAGCACGTGCCTGTAACTCATCAACGAATCAAACAATGTGTATGATGCACAGGAATGGTTTGTGCATTTCCACTAATAAAGACATTAAACCACATAGGTGACCCTAGGTAAAAGTATAGCCAGCATTTGATGAAAATACCTGCTGGAAGCTAACAACGATACTGTAGATACCAAAAGTACATTCATCATATACAACTTATTTTAGGTGAAGCATGTTAAAGTAAATTCTTCAACACATATCCATGAACCAATGCAGATCAATATGTCTAGATACGCTGATCTTAGAAATGCCTTTTTTAGCAGGTAATTTCTGACACAAGATTTGTAAGCAATGCTTTGCATTCAAAAATCATGCTTTATATACACTACTCAAATCTAACGGTCTACTCATACAGGAGAAGAGCTGATTCATTCAGAATTTTTAAGCCTTTTCCTGTCTACAAAAGTTGCCTTGTTACAGAAAGGAAAAAGCATAAAATGTCAGAAATAACCTTGGCATGGCTATGAAAAAGTGTAGCATCCATAAAACTGAAAAGGTTTTAGTGCCTGAAATGTGAAAAAGTATGAGTGATAGAAGAGGGGAGGGAGGAGGAGGAAGAAAAAGAAGAGAGAATATGTCAGCAGGGAAAAGCGTGGAACATTACGAAGGCTTTTTTGAGGAGGCGTTTTCTGGAATTTCAGGGCTGGCATCCTGCAATGGTCAGGGTGGTAGGTGTTATAATGGTGGTAGGTGAGGAGGCTGCTGTGGCTGTTGGCACACGAATCCCAGGTAAGTTGCCTGTCGCTTCTTTGAACCTTCACTGCTTGCATGAAGGGATGATGGAAAATCAGAAAACAAAAGGACCAGAGAAGAGGGAACAGTAACTGAATTGCACAAACAAACAAAAAAGTCCAAAAATTAAAATAAATTGAAAATAAAATGAAATACTAAATAACCTGGTCTTGTCTTCTTACCAAGGGATGCTAACTTTAGGAATATAAATAATATTTTTTTCTCAGAATAAATGCTTCTGATTGTTTTGGGTTTTTTTGTTTGTTTTCTTGCATTTGTTTTAAAAAAGATTAGTACTGAATCAGTTTCTAATCTCACTCTGGCTTTAGCAGCTAAGATTTCAAACTTCCTTAGAAAATACTAAGGTATTACATATGACACTAACTGAAGGTTAATGGAGATGTTTACTTGCCAGTCATTTCAATTTACTGCATTGACATTTTAATTTTGCCACCATCTATTGTTGGCTTTACACTATTCTGTGCAGTAAACAACTTCCTTGGGCCAGCAGCAGGAAAACTCTATCCTGAAGCCTGGTTAATAAACAAAAGAGTTCTTATTGATTAGTTGGATGTGCAATTTAATATGTTGGGTTTTTTTTTTAAACTTGATGTTCAAAACTTTAAAATGATCCTTTTCTGGATGAAATTTGAGACCATATTTGATTGCTGATTTTATGTATGGGGAGTCTGAGAGCCAAAAGTGAAGGCCAGTATTTACGAAGAGAATGGGAAGCATTTCAGTTGATGTGTCAAATATTAAAGGAAAATGATTGAAGTCACCCTTCATTAAATACAGTCTATTCATCACTAAATTCCATGTAGCTGTGTCCTTGCTGAACCACAGAGGCACACTTCAAACAGGGAACTATTCCTTGAATTTTTGTCTTAAAAATACCGAGGGATTCACCCACACTATAAAATGTAAGTTACAGTCTTTGGCCCATGAGCTATATGACTTGTGTCTCTCTGCTACCTGCTATAACTATAATGGCAGCAGACACATATCACCCCATGCTGGACTGTAACAGTAGCCAAAAATCTTCACTGTATAGGTCGGACCCACACCTCACGTTCACATCTTACTCCGTGAGACAAAATAATGGGGAAAAAGGTAGCCACTGCAGCCAGCACTGCACAGTGCCAGAAGAAAAGCTATCATTTTGTTTCTCTTCATATTACATGAGTAATGATCTGCTAATTGTCTGAATATATTAACCCTCCTCTGACACCAGAACAAGTTGCCCAGAGAGGTTGTGGATGCCCCCTCCCTGGCAGTGTTCAAGGCCAGGTTGGATGGGGCTTTGGGCAACTTGGTCTGGAGGAGGGTGTCCCTGCTCATGGCAAGGGGGTTGGAACTAGATGATCTTTAAGGTTCCTTCCAACCCAAACCATTCTGTGATTCTATGACTCAAAAGCAATGCCTGTCACTACAGCGAGGAGTACATCCCAGTGAAGGGAGAGGAAAAGGAGAGTACAGGGCCCACCATACCCCCACAGCGTTGTGGGGTGGTCAGGACTGTGGAGGCCCTGGCACTTCGGGGTACCTCACCCCCCAGCACCAGCGCCAGCTACCTCAGAGACTCTGGAAAATCTCACATCAGCCAGAAATGTCCCAGGAACAGCAGCAGTAGCCTGATATGGCCATACATATCTTAGCATATCTTCTCAGATGAAACCATCTCTTTGATTACATGCACAGACAGTAAGATTTCCAAATTTTAACTATGGTGTAAAAATTAAAATCTGATAAGAACAATTCGGCCAGGTGGATTTTCATTATTTTCAAGTTGCTGTGAGCCTCATTTAATTAAAAAGACTGCTTCCAGCAGGAAATTATCTGGTAGTCTTTGATTTTTTAAAAATGTTTTATTTTCACGCTGAGAGCAGAGATAAAAATGTCCTACTAAGTGGGAAGGTACACAAATTCAGTTTGCTCAGCTTGTAGAAGGATAATCCCAATTCAACAAAAGTTCTGTAGAAGAAAATCCTATCGTGTGTAACCGTAGTAATTTAGCAGTAATTTGAGCTATTCCAACCCAGGGTTGTGTACAATGAACATAAAACTAATGGGGCAGCAAAAGAAATGAATGTTAGCAGCACAGTATAAAGGAAAAAAAAATTTAAAATATTTTGATTCTTTATAGTGCTCTCCATTTTATTTTAGGCCTAAAATTTCAATTTATTTTATATACTGACTTTCCTGCCCATTTTAAATTCCTAGCATGTTCCCATAAGACCAATAACTGAACTCAACATATACGGCCCTAATGAGACAGCTTATCCCAGACACATAAAGGGAGCTTTTCAAACTCTGCAGCACCTAGGCCATACCACACCTGATGAAAGGTTGTTTCCAAGAGGGTACTTGCTTCCATAAAGCATGTTACATCTTGAATTGGTCGTGATATTGGAGTAGCACCACCTGGTGAGGGGCTGGGAAGGGCTGTGAACATCCTACTTATTCTGCCTTACTTAAGAAAGCAACTTTATTACCTTAGGGAGATTTCTCCCCAAAAGATACTTTCATGTAGCTTTTGCAGATCCCCTTGATAGGGTTTCGTAATGGCCAATTCTTAACTCTAGCATGGCAAGAGCGTGGCTTTTTCTACGCATCTACACTGGGTCAAGGTGACTAGAACACTAACAGCATCAATTTGTTTTAAATGTTGGTTAAGAAACCAACTGTTTCAAGTAATACAATCATCTACACAAATCTTTGGCCCTGGTACTCATCTTCCCCCAAAAAATCACTCTTCAAAGGTTCTTTAATCAGCCAGAAATTGATTGTGCGACATCTTTGCTTCAAAAAAATGAAAGATCTGTTTACAACGTACTGTCATAACTGAAAAGAATGGAAATATATTGCAAAATTTGGTCTCCATCTCATTCTGCTTCTGTAGTATCACTCCCTGCTCCCTCACCCCGCTAACCAGCTTAAGTGGAAAGGGGAAAGAGGTGCAGCTGAATAATGGAAGAACATGGTATCGCAAGGGTTACTTTTTGTTCATCCTGGTCTAGGAGACAGTAGTGTCTCCTCAGGTCAATATTCACCACTCTGACAAACTGACTAGAGCATCACTTATGCAGGGACCGCCTGGATCTTAGATAGGTGTCCAAGAACATTTACCATCACTGACATTTCTCGACCTCAGAAATCTTGTCTTGGTCTAAATGAGGCAGAAATGCAGTACCACAGGCTCAGAAAATGGTACCACTGGTTCATGCTGCAACACAGGTACATATTCTTTGTGTATTTGATAACCCTTGTTACTTCTTTGACATCCATCAACATGCGGTATTTTAGACTGCATTTATGAATACCGTGAATTAGCTACTTCCTCAGGATTAGTTAGAAGACAAGACAGGCAGTCTCCATCTTCAAATACTAAGACATTTTATATATATTTGATTTGAAAATGGAAAGCCATTCTCTTCAAGTATGTTGGTATGAAATAAATATCACAGTGAAAAAGGGCTGGGATCTAGGGTACTGTTTCCAAACAAACCTTTTTCATAAGCACTGACAATGAACCCGTGAAGCAATCTTGTACATACTTTAACATACGATAGCAATAAATAATAATGCCATTAACAAGAGAAAATACAGAAGGGGTTTGAGGTATTTTAGGGGAGAACAGGTGCTATTAATGAAGTGGTCATAACAGACTGTCAGGTCAATACGCTGAAAAGAAGTTGGCTGTGGTCCTTCCCCCCCTCCCTCTAAATTTAAGAAGCAATTTAGACATTCATTTACTGAAGTACCTAGTTGCCCCCTGCCAACGATTGCAACAGTAGAATCAACAGGTGTCTTTACATACATCTACAAGTATGCAGAGCCATTTCTCAGCAAAACATTTCCCCCTCTATCCATAGGAATCTCAGAGGGTACATTAAGGCTGAGAAAACACAGAGCTTCTCAGAAACTGCAGAAGCATAACCTGGGGAGCTGAAAGAACATTTACAGACAGAACTGCCGCAATAGCTTTCATGGCCATTCAGCAAGGGCAGGCAAAGTAAAAGACAGAAAAAGAAAAGGTTATTTGGTGCTACGGATCTTCTTACCGTGCTCCGGGCCTTTCAGCGCTAGCCGTGTTTGGTGGTGAGGAAGAATCTCAAGTTTGACATTATCCGCTGCATTAGCCAAAAATTGCGTTGCTTCTGCCAGCGTACAGTACTCCATGCTGGTGCCATCAATGGACAGAATATGGTCTCCTACATGTAATGCACCACATCTACATAAAAGGGGAAAAACTCGGTATGATCAGGTATGCTCTTTGCTTTGAAAATGAGTTTTACTGCCTTCAAACTGGTCATGACAACTATGAACGTGTTCTTTTTTTTCGAGAGAGATTTGCGTTTTGTAGGCATTGTCACTGGTCAGACTTTATATCTATTAGTACAAACCTTAAAAACAATTCAGTTAATACAGTATATGCCAAGACATCACTCACAGAACTGGAATGGGGTAGCTGACTATAAAAATATGTGTGAATGGCAGCAGAATAAAATGAGAAGAGCTTGAGGAGACTCAAATAACTTGGTCACATATCCCTCACACAAGCACCCAGTTCATCATTTTTTGAGTTATAGTTCAAACATTTATTAGTACAAAAGCTGTAAATGACGATGAAATTATGCAGTAGTCAAACAAATAATGAAACCAGGGCTAGCATGGTGACTTGAGGAGTGGGGTGGGGAGGGGGCTATCTGCTAAATCTCGCTGCACTCAAGAGACTGGCTACTGGATGAGTTGAGAAATGCAAACACAGCAGTCAGCATCCCGACGTACCAGTCAAGTGGACAGCTCCTTTAATTGGTTACCCCCTGCGAAATGGGAAAAAACAGAGGGAGAAAATTAAAGCATCCTGCACCATTGAACTGGAGAACACCCCTGGATCAATGGCCGTCACTCTCAAAGTTTCTACTGTAGGGCAAA